TCTTTTGGAGTTTCTGATGGCTTTAAGATTTTTTGAGACTTTAGTTCTCGACTTGTTTGCTAATTTCCCTCTTCCGGCTACATCAAAAAATGTCTTGCATTGAAAAAATATTAATTAAATTTTTATCGTGACATTTCGTTATCTTTGCGTAAACACAAAACACGAGTTTTGCAGTTACAACGACCACTGAATGTTTCCTGTGCTGTTTATACAAATTTCAGTCGTATTTGGCTATTGGCGATTCCAGCTCGTAAATGTTTTGCACAATGCCCAACGAACACACGCACACATTATTTGGACATTTTCTGCTTTCGCATATTTCACTTTTGGCACTTGGAGTCTTCAAAGTAAAACGACCCGTAGTTGTGTCATAATTTTTCCGCAGCATGCGGTGTTTTCGGTTCTTGTCCGCGTCAATATTTGTATCTTTGTATCTCACAGAAGCGTACAAAAGCGGAGATACTCTGCGGAATTGTCACGTTTGCGTGTGATAAGCAGCATTTTTGTTTACTTTTCAGTCCGCCTCCTAACGGATGTCGTAGAACCGAAATTACCGCGACATCGCACTAAGTTCGCCAAGAAAGAAACGGAGAAGTGCCACGCGAAATGGAAGAACCAGACTGAAGACACCTCGCACTCACACTTTGAGCCCCCGCCAAAAAGCTCTTTGTACCGCCAAGCGATCGGCGATCGGCGATCCACAAGAAACGCTGCGACTACGTTGCCGTCACTCCGCTTAATAATATTAACTAAACTTCGCGCCGCTGGCCAAAGCTTGTGGCGCTCCGCTCATATGGTTAACGGTTATGCGAGAGCGCCACTGCCGCAAGCTTGGCGGATGAGACTGGGAGCGGAGTTTTCTGGTAACAGCTGCTAGCCGAAAAACATCTGGCAAAGCTTTTCGTAATTCCCCCAAGCCATTGGCTCTGCGATACCCCAAAGAACATTTTCACGATCCTAAGATGTTATGATGAAACGCTGGGGATCTGATGTCACAAGGTCATCTGCAAACCGAAAGAACCCGTTCTTCCGCAGAATATTTCCAAAGGCCTTAAGCTTTTGAAGCTTTTTGCGGGGTTCACAAACCTTCTGAAATGCTGATCGACTACGGGTTCTATTGTCGGAACATGAGTCACAACCTCGCTAAAAGTGAGCATGTAACCCCGCTTTGTATCTTTTGTCGGCTATCTTATCAGCCCCACTAGACTCGGGCGCAATCGCTGTAATCAGCACTCATTATTTGTACGACCCCAATGAGCCCCGCAGGCGAAATAAATCGAATTACAATTATGCTTTCGATTAGATTGGCGCACGCGGTGCAACTGTCAACAACATAATTGATTGACACCTGCTCCGGGCCAAAACTGAAAATGTATACACATATGTTGTTTGATAAGTTCATTTTGCATATGTACGTTTGGCCACATAAAAGATGTAAAACGTTAAAAGTAATCAATTCAAGAGATTGTGCTTTTATTTCTCTGTAAAAGCTCTAACAGAACACACTAGAACTACAGTTGCTTTTTATATTTTTGAGAGTTTGAAGGTTTATTATTATACCCGTTACTCGTAGAGGAAAAGGGTATACTAGATTCGTCGGAAAGTATGTAACAGGCAGAAGGAAGACTTTCCGACCCCATAAAGTATATTTATTCTTGATCAGGATCACTAGCCGAGTCGATCTAGCCATGTCCGTCTGTCCGTCTGTCTGTCCGTCCGGATGAACGCTGAGATCTCGTAAACTATAAGAGCTAGGCTATTGAAATTTGGCTTGCAGGTTCCTGAGCTTCTTACGCAGCGAAAGTTTGTTTTAGCAATGTGCCACGCCCACTCTTACGCCCACAAACCGCCCAAAACTGTGGCTCCTACAGTTTTGATGCTAGAATACAAATTTAACTAAAATGTATTGTTCTCATCAATACCTATCGATTGACCCAAAAAAAAGTGTGCCACGCCCACTCTAATGCCCACGAACCGCCCAAACCTGTGACGCCCACAGTTTTCATGCTAGATAAAAAATTTTAACTGAAATGTATTGTTCTCGTCAATACCTATTGATTGACCAAAAAAAAAGTTTGCCACGCCCACTTTATCGCCCACAAACCGCTCCCAAACTTCAAAAAATCGTAAATATGAACGTGGATATCTCGGAAACTATTAAAGATAGAGAATTAATTATTAAGAATTTACAAAACAAATATTGTAACCGCCTCTAGAGGGCGCCCTGCGTTCACTGTTTACATATCTCCAAGTCTTATTCGCTCCCTTTAGCTGAGTAACGGATATCTGAAAGCCGAGTCACTTTAATATAACGTTCTTCCTTGTTTTGACGTAAAAAAATTTTTTATCTAGCATGAAAATTGTGGGCGCCACAGGTTTGGGCGTTAGAGTGGGCGTGGCATATTCGCATAACAAACTTACAAGGCTATGAAATTTTAATCTAAAATCCCACTGTGGCTCCTACAGTTTTGATGCTAGAGAAAAAATTTTAACTGAACTGTATTGCTCTCGTCAATACCTATCGATTGACCTAAAAAAAGTTTGCCACGCCCACTTTAACGCGCAAACTTGTGACGCCCACAATTTTCATGCTAGATAAAAAATTTTAACTGAAATGTATTGGTCTCGTCAATACCTATCGATTGATCAAAATAAAATTTGCCACGCCCACTCTATCGCCTATAACGCTTACTATAGCGTTCTTCCTTGTTTTAGTGTATAATGGTTATATCTAAAATAATGGTCTACATTAAACCAAATTTTTACCAAACAACAAACATTTTCGGGTTTTTTCCTGGAAGAAAATTAAAAACTGCTATTTCAGTGAACAGCCAAAATGATGTGCCCGTGTGCAACTAACAAAAAGGACTATGCTAATAAACCGTTATATAGTCTCGCTTCTGTCGCACTGCTATTTTAATGAACACAGCTGTATGTTCTTGATTTGGTTCACTAGCCGAGTCGATCAAGACATGTCCGTCTGTCCGTATCAACGCTAAGATCTCTGTTTAAATAAAAATGAATTTTGAATTTTACAATTGTTTGTTTTCTTTAAACCACTAATTTTAAACAAATATTAAAAAAAAAATTTAGTTTAAAAATATGTTTAAATGTTTTGTTTCTCCCACAGTTTTGATGCTAGAATAAACATTTTAACTGAAATGTATTGTTCTCTTTAATACCTATCGATAGACATCACGCCCACTTTAACGCCCACAAACTTCAAAAAATCGTAGATATGAACGCGGATGTCTCGGAAACTATCAAAGATAGAGATAGATAGATAATTGGGATTTCAGATTTCGATTCCGTAGCTTTGTATGCAGCGCAAGTTTGTTACGCGAATGTGCCACGCCCACTCGAACGCCAATAACGCTTAAATCTGTTTACCGCCCACATTTCATATATTGAGATCGCGGGTAGGTGGCGCATTTCAATCTCGGTGAGTAACGGGTATCTGATTGTCGAGGTACTCGACTATAGCATTCTTCCTTGTTTTTTTCTCATTTTAAGTATACAAAAATTTGTCTGACTTCGGTGCCCGTTTGAAAAAAAGGTGACTTGCTTTGAGCATCGTAGCGCATCACAAAGCGCAGCCCATCGCATAACTGAAAACAATATAGCATTGTATGTATGTAATTGAATTCCACTGGTATCTTCTGGATCTTTTTAAATTTTTTACAACACTCTGAAGTACAAAACCGATTTTTGCCAAATTAAATTTGTTTACTTACAATTTTTCAAAACACAATACGAGTATATTGAAAATTAGAAATTGGGATCCGACTATGCCAGCGGAATTTTCTTACCTTTATTGTTTTTATTTATCAGTTAACCTTGTGATATTATTCTATATTATTTATTATCGATACTGTGCCGATAGAAATACGTTCTTAGCATTTTAACCGTCATCTCAATTTTTAACAATTTTTTAAATGTAGTATAGGTAAAATTGGAGAAAAAAAGCTCATCACACTAGCTAAAAAAGCTAGAGTTCCCGATGCCCGCTGTTTTTAAATTTATCCCGCAAACGCCCTTAAAAAAAAACGGAAATGAAACCACTGCACAGTGGTCGGGCTTGTATGGAGCTGCGGCCATAAATACTTCTAGACGTGCTATCGGCATGAAACTTTCACCAAAAATCTATAAAAATATTATAAATATATTGTAGAACAAGGGAGAACGCTATAGTCGAGTACCTCGACTATCAGATACCCGTTACTCAGCTAAATGGAGATATGCAAGCAGCAAAGCGAGATTAAAATGCGCCACCTACCGGCGGTATACAGATTTAAGCGTTATGGGCGTTAGAGTGGGCGTGGCAAATTTTTTTTTGGACCAATCGATAGGTATTGTCGAGACCAATACATTTCTGTTAAAATTTTTATTCTAGCATCAAAACTGTAGGAGCCACAGTAGCACTCTACTGAAACAAACTTGCGCTGCGCAGGAATCTCAGGAATCTGCGTGCCTAATCCCAGTATTTTAACTCTCATAGTTTCCGAGATCTCAGCGTTCATACGGACAGACGGACAGACGGACATGGCTAGATCGACTCGGCTAGTGATCCTGATCAAGAATATATATACTTTATAAGGTCGGAAACGCTTCCTTCTGCCTGTTACATACTTTCCGACGAGTCTAGTATACCCTTTTACTCTACGAGTAACGGGTATAAAAATTGACCGGATCGGACCACTATATCTTGTCGCTTCCATAGCGCAGTGGTCGGGCATGTATGGAACGAGCGGCCAAGAATACTTCTAGTGTAGATAAAAATTTAAATTTTTTTCCAAAATTCTATAAAAATATAATAAATAAAACAAAAAAAAAACATTTATATTCAACCAACTATTGAAGTTACACCCCCTGCTATAAATCAGCATATCAAAACTTTAGACAGAATAATAATTTTGCTATTATTGTATTATTCTAAAATATCTAACTTTCGGTTTCCTGTTATAAACGGATCCGATGAAAGGAGTAGACAATTGAGAAGGTCTTCATTTGTTGCTTGTTATGTCCTTATTTCTTGCCTCAGCAGCTTCCTCCGACAATTCCCGAATCGACACCAGAGCGTTTTCAATTATGGATGGTCCATGAATTAAAATCTTATGAACGGTAGGCGGAAGGTAGTACCATGAATATGTCCTTGTTAAATCAACGGCTATTTGGAGTGCAAATGTCCTAAATTTGTCAACATTAATTTTATACCCAGAATATTTCATATTTTCAATTCTCTTGCAGCAGTAACTAACGCGTTTTTCTAATTGATCCAAATATTCAGCTCCCATTATGTAGCCATCATTCTCTATTTTCAATTTCAAAGATTGAATCTTGACTGGATTTGTACCTGTCTTGGAACACCACTTATTAAATATACAAATCAGGCTAAACTTCCATTCGTGAAAAGCTCCTATAAATTAAATAAAGTATAATATAAATTTAGACAGAGGCAGAGATAGACGCCACAAAAGGCACAGTTACACAAAGGAAAAAATGCTCGAAAACGGCGAGACCACGTGGTTCTTTTCAAGCTTACACAGCGGCTAGCAAAAACTAGCAGCTGAAATTTTCTCTAAATAATCTGTAAATATTCGTTTATATTTTATTATAAGTTTGATCATTAACTTCGATTAACTTCACAACTAAAAGTCTTAGTGAAACTTTAACTTACAAACAAATTTTATACAAAAGTGGACAAATATAAACTTAATTATTAAAAATAGACACAACAATCTTAGTACATGAATATAATTTAAAATAATAGTTAATACCTGTATTTGAAATATTAAATACTTCCATTTTGCATCAAATCTTTCTTTAAATTGTTTTTATTTATTGTTGCACAAGCTCACTTGAAACGTCGCGACGCGTCGCTCACACTGCAGCACAATAAAATGTTTTGCTCTATGTTTTACACTTATTCTTGAAGAGGACAGATGGAGCAAAACCAAAATAACAGCAGAGTAAAAAATTTTGAGGTGTTATGAGACAGTACTGACCTTTTTTAGCAGTAATATTATCTTTTGTTTTTTTATTTTTGGCCTATGGGGGCGACCACTATGCACTGGACCGATCCGTCTCGGTTTGACATATACACGCAGAAAAAACACCGTGCCAAAATCAAGTACACAGTCTTAATGTAAAAAGACTTCAATCTTAATATTTAAAGAACTTTCGTACTGGAAATGTCTTAAATTGAGCACAATTGGGATTTTAATAACGATCAACTATAAAATTCCCAACTGTTTATTCTGAAAGTATTCAGTATATAAGGCGCATAGAAAACACGGTGTTAATGCACTTGACCAGCAGGTCGTAATAGAAACCTCTAAAATTAATGTCGTTTATTCAATTTTAGTCTACAGTTCATGTTTCCTTTACAAGCACATAATCAAACCCAATTTAAATTTACAATATATATATATATATATTGATTTAAGAATTAATTGTCCTTATAATGTGCCTGCAACTTTCTTACTTTATTAATAAACCGTATTTTTTTTTAAGTACAAATATCACTAGATTTAAGAATAATTCATACTTCAAAGTAGACCGACATTTTCTAAAAACTTACTGAAATCGGGTATTTTCTGTCTTGAAATTTCGTACTTGAAAGCATTTTGCTCTCAAAATCGGGACTTGTGATGCTTGGCAAAGTTTTTACACTGAAAACACTATACTCAAGCGCGGAATACTTGATTTTTTGGGTTTCACACCGGTAGGTTTCAAACTGAGAGAATAGTTCGCGTAGAAACGAATGAATTGATCAAGAAAATATATATATCGACTTACCGGATCATATTAATTTTTTGATCGATTTCCTCGTTTTATATACTGCAATTAAAAAAAAATTGAAATTCTTAATTTTAAAAATAAAAAATGAGGATTAATATATATAATTTTTTTCAGTGATTTAAAAAGTTTTCTATAATGTACCAAATACGATTACAAAATACATTTTTATCATACGTATACGAGGCGATTTTTCTTATATTTAGGCGTAGTCTAACTTAAGGGCGATTAGTATTCTATTTTTTTTGAAAGTCGATAAAATAAATAAACTATATTAAATTTATGATTTCGGCCCGCAGCAGTAAATATTTATTTACCTACACGTAAATTTTCTGTAGTAATATAGTTTATTTATTTTATCGAATGTAATATCATTTTTCGTCACAATTGTTGATATCAGAAATTTTTGTTAAAGGCGCGTTTGCCACTACTTTTTACCTCGTTAAGAGGTGTTTTTGTTTGATATCAGAAGTTTTTTTTTGCACAAGAGTTTTCCCAAAAGTCGTAAAACAAACGTTTTCTAATTCAAGCTACTTTATACACCCATAGGGTTTCCAAAACCATAAAACTAAGATGGAATGCATACAAACCCACAAACAAAGGGACAAACATTTTCATTTTGAGTGATAAAAAAGATTATTTTAAAACAAGTAGAAAGATGGAATTTGTCTACCGCAATTTTTATGGTTGAAAAAAGTTTTCCTGCTGTACAATCAGTGCAAGTGTTTTGACCTCCCAAATAAAGGTTAAAGTAGTAATTAGCTAAATATTGTTCGCCATAAATAAATAAATATCTAACGATATTTAAATCTTTGAACAGCAAAACTTGAATCTATTTATTAAATATTTTTACTTTATGTAAAAAGTACCATCATGTTCATTAAACCACGATGAAAAATCGCTCTATAAAGTACACGTTACGCATTGATCTATTGAAAATGGTTTAATGCGTTCCTGTTTTTATTGTTTTTTAAAACATTTTCAAAAACCTTGATTTGTATTTTACGTACATTTTTTTAATCCCGCTATAAAAAAAATTCGAAATAACTAAAAAATGGTGAAAACAAGGCAATAAAAAGAAATATACAAAAAAATTAAAACAAATTAAAAAAGACAAGAAACAACAGCAAAAAAAATAAAAAATATAGAAAAAAAACAAGGAAGAACGCTATAGTCGAGTACCTCGACTATCAGATACCCGTTACTCAGCTAAATATAGATATGCAAGTAGCAAAGCGAGATTAAAATGCGCCACCTACCGGCGATATACAGATTTAAGCGTTATGGGCGTTAGAGTGGGCGTGGCAATTTTTTTTTTGGACCAATCGATAGGTATTGACGAGACATTTCAGTTAAAATTTTTTATCTGGCATAAAAATTGTGGGCGTCACAGGTTTTCGCGGTTTGTGGGCGTTAGAGTGGGCGTGGCATATTCGCGTAACAAACTTGCGCTGCGTATAAGGCTACGGAATCTAAATCTGAAATCCCAATTCTCTATCTTTGATAGTTTCCGAGATATCCACGTTCATATTTACGATTTTTTGAGGTTTATGGGCGTAGGAGCCACAGTTTTGGGAGGTTTGTGGGCGTAAGAGTGGGCGTGGTACATTGCTGAAACAAACTTGCGCTGCGTAAGAAGCTTAGGAATCTGCACGCCAAATCTCAATAGCCTAGCTCTTATAGTTTCCGAGATCTCAGCGTTCATCCGGACAGACGGACATGGCTAGATCGACTCGGCTAGTGATCCTGATCAAGAATATATATACTTTATGGGGTCGGAAACGCTTCCTTCTGCCTGTTACAGACTTTCCGACGAATCTAGTATACCCTTTTACTCTACGAGTAACGGGTATAATAAGAAAAAATTTTTTTTTGCCATTCGATAGAATTTTGATAGCTCTTTGCTTAGTGTAAATGATGGAGTTTATTGAGCTATCATTTTCATTTTGAATTTTTATCTTCTTATAAGATTGCAATAAATAGATTTGGTAGAAAAATTTGAAACAAATCATATGTTTTCCTTGCGAAATAATTAACCAATGCCTTTAAAAGTAGCTAAAAATTATAAAAAATAAAGTAAATTTTTTCTGTTTTCAGGAATATTTCTTCAACAAAACAAATGAAATATGCAGTGGTCCCACTGTATTAAGAAAATATGGCCATTTATTTATGAAAACACGAAACCAAAAACGATGATTATGAAGTTTTTTTGTTTTGGTCCTGGTTGACCATTACCATATTTTCACTGGTACGTTCGTAGTGCCATGTTGCTGATTATCCTGGTAACTCACGAATGAAAATTGATGAAAATGCAAAGGCATTTCAAAAACTTAATGGAAAAAACGTTAAGGAAATATTCTATATGTCAGTATCACGTCATTAAAATGACATAATATAGATTTGAATAATTGATAAAAGTATTATTGGTATGGAACCATTTCTACTTTTTATACGATCCTTTTGTCCATTTAACTAAGTACGAAATCACTGTTAGGGCCTATTCACACGGAGGGGGTTTTCGCTTCAGCGACTTTTTCTTCCAAAGGAAATACACGTGCTAGAAAGAGAGAGGAAAAAGTCTCTACATGTCCTTCTTGGCAAGAAGTTTGTTGCTTAAGAAATGGGTATACAAAAATAACCGTATACGAGAAAGGTGTTATAAACACTTAAGAGTCCAAACGGTTCTAACTTGTAAAAGTGCCCACAATATATGGATCAGTTATCAATTATCAAGTTTGTTCTGCTTAACGCTTAAAGCTTGTAAGTTTTTGACAATCACTTTATAAGTAAAAGTTTTTAAAACAAAATAACGATTGCAAAAAAATATCGGCTACCACCGCAACTGCAGTAGAGCATTCGTAGACATATAAAAATCAAAAAGTTCCGAACAGTTGTGAGGAATTAAACTACCTTCATGGTTTTTAATAGAAGTTCTGTTAATTTTTATCAATATTTCTCTCATCGGTACACGCCAGCAGCAATGTATTATGTATCAAGAGCATACTATTTTTACGCTCCTTTTTATACCCGTTACTCGTAGAGTAAAAGGGTATACTAGATTCGTCGGAAAGTGTGTAACAGGCAGAAGGAAGCGTTTCCGACCCCATAAAGTATATATATTCTTGATCAGGATCACTAGCCGAGTCGATCTAGCCATGTCCGTCTGTCCGTCTGTCCGTCTGTCTGTCCGGATGAACGCTGAGATCTCGGAAACTATGAGAGCTAGGCTATTGAGATTTGGCGTACAGATTCCTGAGCTTCTTACGCAGCGCAAGTTTGTTTCAGTAGACTGCCACGCCCACTCTAACGCCCACAAACCGCCCAAAACTGTAACTCCAACAGTTTTGATGCTAGATAAAAAATTTTAACTGAAATGTATTTTTCTCATCAATACCTATCGATTGACCTAAAAAAAAGTTTGCCACGCCCACAAACCGCGAAAACCTGTGACGCCCACAATTTGCATGCTACATAAAAAATTTTAACTGAAATGTATTGGTGTCGTCAATACCTATCGATTTACCCAAAAATAAATTTGCCACGCCCACTCTAACGCCCATAACGCTTAAATCTGTCTACCGCCGGTAGGTGGCGCATTTTAATCTCGCTTTGCTGCTTGCATATCTCCATTTAGCTGAGTAACGGGTATCTGATAGTCGAGGTACTCGACTATAGCGTTCTTCCTTGTTTATTAGTAATTTCATCAGTGATCAGGTATCATGTTGTACTGCTGAATGCGGCTAATGAAAAATTAATTTGACACTAAAAACATTCCACACGCTAGCTTTCAAATTGTATTTAGTTATCCTGAGCAACTTAATTTGCTTATGCCGATCAGCTGTAAGCCTTAGCTATTCTCTATGTGAACCAGAATCGCTGTTGCAATTTTAAGCGGCTGTGCAGAGGCTATATAAACACATCGCGACACATCGATATCAATATCGACACACCGATGAGACATCAAACTTTCGTGCGATATATCGTGCACAATGACGCAAGAGTGCTTCAACGGTTTTATTTTCAAAATATTGTGGAAAATTAATCTTATTCTGCTTTTTTCCTATAAACTATACGTTTTACAGAAAGTTTGTATTAAATATTAAATACGCCCTTC